TGGGGGGTGGGGGGGAGTGGGGACAGCCATGGCCGCCGATCTGGGGGACCCCAAAACTCCCGCGGCCCCCCCCGCCCCCCCAAAACGCTTCTTCCGCAAGAGCGTGGAGGTGCTGGAGGAGGAGGAGCGGGGCGAGCGCGGCGGCGACCCCGGCCCGCGGGGCGACCCCCGGCTCGGGGCGGGCGAGGAGGGCGAGGAGGAGGCGGAGATGAAGGCCGTGGCCACCTCGCCCGGCGGCCGCTTCCTCAAGTTCGACATCGAGCTGGGGCGCGGCGCCTTCAAGACGGTCTTCAAGGGCTTCGACACCGACACCTGGGTGGAGGTGGCCTGGTGTGAGCTGCAGGTGAGCCCCGAGACGGTGGGGAGAGTTTTGGGGGGCTGGGGGTGGTGAGTTGGTGGGTGGGAGGTGAAATTTGGCTTATTTGGGGTCGTCGGATGGGGAGGATGTGTGATAGGTTCTTGGGGGAGGGGGGGTTTGAGGCTTTTCATAAGATGGGGACACCCTAAAATTAATCATGAAGCCCCTGATTGGCCTCTCAAGTTTGTGTTTAACTTTTTCCAAAGCCATGAGTGGCTCCTCAAACTCAGCTTGAGGCTCTTCTGAGATCAGTGATCCCCAAAATCCCTTGAATCCACAGTTGGTCCTTTGAGCTCACCTTGAAGTGAGGTGGGAGGTGTCTCTCCCAAATTCAGACACCCCAACATTCATCATGAGGCCCTTGACTGGCTCCTCAAATTGATGTTGAAGCCATTTGAAAGCTGTGATAGGTTCCTCAAATTCATCTTGAGGCACTTCCAAAATCAATGATCTCCAAAATCCACCCTTGAATCCCACACCGGGTCCTTTGATCTCATCGTGAACCGCTCCCAAAGATTGGGACACCCCAAAATTCATCATGAGCCTTCTCAAATTCATCATTGGCTCCTGAAATTGATGTTGAAACCCTTCCAAAGCTGTGATTGGTTCCTCAAACTCATCTTGAGGCTCCTCTGATATCAACGATCTCCAAAATCCGCCTTTGAACCTTTCAGCTCACCTTGAGCCCCTCCCAAAGATAGGGGACACCCCAAAATTCATCATGAACCCTCTGACTGGCCCCTCAAGTTGAGACCCCAAATTCACCACAACCCCCATAGCTGACCCCTCTGCACCCCACAGCCACCCCAAATCCCATCAATTCCCCCCAAATTGAGCCGCTTGTCCCCCAAAGTGCTTTGTTACCCCCTGAAAGTGGGGGTGATGATGATGATGAAGGAGTTTGGAGGTGAGGATGATGACCCTGGAGTTGGGGGATGATGATGATGATGATGACAATGATGACAATGATAATGATGGAGTTTGGGAGTGAGGATGATGACGCTGCAGTAGGGGATGATGATGATGGTGATGATGATGATGCTGGCAATGACCCTGAGGTTTAGGGACAATGATGATATTGGGGTTGGGGGATGATGATGATGATGATGATGATGATGATGATGATGATGATGATGATGATGATGACAGCCCTGGAGTTTGGGGATGATGGTGATGATGATAATGATGATATTGGAGTTGGGGGGTGATAATTATGATGATGATGATGTGAATGACCCTGAGATGATGATGATGATCCTGGGGCTGGAGAATGATGATGAAAACGATGATGATGGTGATGATGATGATGATGATGACCATGATCCTGGGGCTGGGGGCTGCTAACGCTGACCCTGGAACCCGGAGCCAACGCCGCTGCCGGACTTTGGGGTGTGTCTGTGCCCCCAGGACCGCAAGCTGACCAAGGCAGAGCAGCAGCGCTTCAAGGAGGAGGCCGAGATGCTCAAGGGGCTGCAGCACCCCAACATCGTCCGCTTCTACGACTCCTGGGAGTCCTCTCTCCGCGGCAAGAAGTGCATCGTCCTCGTCACCGAGCTCATGACCTCGGGCACCCTCAAGACGTGAGTTGGGGGCGCGGGGGGACGCTGGGGGGGGGTCCGGGCGTGGCTGACGGGACCCCACAGGTACCTCAAGAGGTTCAAGGTGATGAAGCCGAAGGTGCTGCGGAGCTGGTGCCGGCAGATCCTGAAGGGGCTGCAGTTCCTGCACACGAGGACGCCGCCCATCATCCACCGCGACCTCAAGTGCGACAACATCTTCATCACCGGCCCCACCGGCTCCGTCAAGATCGGCGACCTGGGGCTGGCCACGCTCATGCGCACGTCCTTCGCCAAGAGCGTCATCGGTGAGCGCCGTGGGGACCTCGGGGACGCCCCGGAGGGCCCCCCCTGACCGCCCACCCCACAGGGACCCCCGAGTTCATGGCCCCCGAGATGTACGAGGAGCGCTACGACGAGTCCGTGGACGTCTACGCCTTCGGGATGTGCATGCTGGAGATGGGCACGTCCGAGTACCCCTACTCTGAGTGCCAGAACGCCGCCCAGATCTACCGCAAAGTCACCAGCGTGGGTGTCCCACCAGCCCCTGAGACCCCCAACCCTCCCTCAGAGCCCCCCAAGTCACCGTGTCCCCCCACAGGGCATCAAGCCGGCGAGTTTCCACAAGGTGACGGACCCCGAGGTGAAGGAGATCATCGAGGGCTGCATCCGGCAGAACAAGGCTGAGAGGTGGGGTGGGGTGGTGGTCTGGGACCCCTGCGGCCCCCCAGGAGTGACCACACTGACCACACGCCCCCCCACGCCAGGCTGTCCATCCGGGACCTGCTGGACCACGCGTTCTTCGCCGAGGACACGGGGCTGCGCGTGGAGCTGGCCGAGGACGACGCGGGGCTGGACCCGGCGCTGGCGCTGCGGCTCTGGGTGGAGGACCCCAAAAAGCTCAAGGGCAAGCACAAGGACAACGAGGCCATCGAGTTCAGCTTCAACCTGGACGCCGATGTCCCTGAGGAGGTGGCCTACGAGATGGTGAGGGCGTGACCCCAAAAATCCTCAGGACTGGCCCCTAATTGGTCTTGATTCTCCCCAAATGCAATCAACCTCCAAAATTGTGGGTCAAGCTCATCTTGAACACCCCAAAATCCACCCAGGAACCCAACAGTTGATCCCTCCAACTCTTCCTGAGCCTCTTCCAGAACAAAAGTCTGGAAATTCATCCCAAAATTCATCCCTGAACCTCACCTTGAAACTCTCCCCCACTAAACTTCACCTTGAACCTTTCCCAAAACTGATACCCCAAAATTCAACCCAGAACCTCAGCTTGAACCTTTCCCTCAACCAATGACACCCCAAAATTCATCCTTTAACCTCACCTGGATCCTCTCTCAAAACCAACACCCCCCAGAATTCCCTCTGGAACTGACCCTGAGCTCCCCCAGCTCTTGGTGCCCACCCTGGACACCCCAATTCCCCTCCCTCAGGTGAAATCCGGGTTCTTCCACGAGAGCGACTCCAAGGCTGTGGCCAAATCCATCCGGGACCGGCTGGCGCTGGTGAGGAAGACGCGGGAGAAGAAGCAGGCGGAGAGCAGGGGGGGCCCCGAGAGCCGGGGGGGCCCCGAGAGCGAGGACACCGAGGTCGATCAGCACGTGCGGCAGCAGCTGCTGCGGGAGCAGCCCCCGCCCGGCCCTGGTGAGACCCCAAAACTGCCCCTGGCCACCCAGAACTGCCCCCCGACCCCCAAACCGCCCCCCAAAACCGCCCCCAGTGCCCCCAGAATGGCCCCAGGTCCCCCAGAACTGCCCCCCGACCCCCAAACCGCCCCCCAAAACCGCCCCCAGTGCCCCCAGAATGGCCCCAGGTCCCCCAGAACTGCCCCCCCACCCTCAAACTGCCCCTGGTCACCCAGAACTGCCCCCCCACCCTCAAACTGCCCCCTAAAACTGCCCCCAGTGCCCCCAGAATGGCCCCAGGTCACCCAGAACTGCCCCCAGACCCTCAAACTGCCCTCTAAAACTGTTCTCAGTGCCCCCAAAACTGCCCCTGGACACCCAGAACTGCCCCCACACCCTCAAACTGCCCCCTAAAATTGTACCCAGACCCTCAAACTGCCCCAGGTCAGCCACCCAGAACTGCCCCCAGACCCTCAAACTGCCCCCTAAAACTGCCCCAAGTGCCCCCAAAACTGCCCTAGGTCACCCAGAACTGTACCCAGACCCTCAAACTGCCCCCTAAAACTGTACCCAGACCCTCAAACTGCCCCTGGACACCCAGAATTGCCCTTAGACCCCCCCAAACTGCCTCACCTTGCTCCCTCTCACAGCCGAGGGGCTCCAGGACAATGCCCCCGCCCCAGATGTCCCCGGTCCCTGCGGTGTCACTGGGCCACCTGAGCAGCTCTGGGGGTACCCACAGGGACCCCAGGATGGGGTGTCCCCCCCTGTGCCACCACCGGTAAGTGCCTGTCACACTGGGGAGTCCTGGGGGGGTCCAGACCCCCCTGGCACTGCTCTGTGTCCTGCAGGTCACCCCCTAGGTCACCCAGAACTGTACCCAGACCCTCAAACTGCCCCCTAAAACTGTACCCAGACCCTCAAACTGCCCCTGGACACCCAGAATTGCCCTTAGACCCCCCCAAACTGCCCCCCTTGTCCTCCAAACTGCCCCTTTTTACCCCAAAACTGCCCTTGGACACCCAGAACAGCCCCCAGCCCCTCAAAATTGCCTCCCTTGTCCCCCAAACTGCCCCTTCTTCCACCAAATCTGCCCCCAGACCCTCAGGCTGACCCCAGCACCCCCAAAACTGCCCCCCTTGGCCCCCAAAAGTCCTGCCCTACCCCCAGTGAGACCCCCCAGCAGTGACCCCCCCCACCTTGCTCCCTCTCACAGCCGAGGGGCTCCAGGACAATGCCCCCGCCCCAGATGTCCCCGGTCCCTGCGGTGTCACTGGGCCACCTGAGCAGCTCTGGGGGTACCCACAGGGACCCCAGGATGGGGTGTCCCCCCCTGTGCCACCACCGGTAAGTGCCTGTCACACTGGGGAGTCCTGGGGGGGGGGTCCAGACCCCCCTGGCACTGCCTCGTGTCCTGCAGGTGACCCAGGGGACCGAGGGGACAGCAGAGGATGGCACCGGAGGAGCCACCACGGAGCCACCTGGGCCTGAGGGGGACCCCTGTGGCTGTGGGTTGGTGACAGTGGGGGCACAGCCACAGGTGGCACCTGGGGCACCGGGGCCGGGGATGGCACCGAGAGTGGCAGCAGGGGTGGCACTGCCAGCTGCGGGGGTGACAACGGCTCCTGGAGTGTCACCAGCGCAAGGGGTGCCACCTCCTACTGGAGTGCCACCGGCCTCGGGGGGGACACCAGCTCTGGGGGTGCCACCTCCAGCTGGAATGCCACCAGCTCCAGGGGTGCCACCAGCTCTGGGGATGACACCTGGTCCAGGAGTGCCACCCCCAGCTGGGGTGCCACCACAGTTGGTCCCTATGATGCAGCTGCAACCAGGCCCAGGAATGCCACCAACAGCCCCTGGAATGCCACCAGCCCAAGGGATGCCACCAGCCCAGGGGATGTCACCAGGTCCAGGAATGCCACCACCGTCTGGGATGCCACCAGCCCAGGGGATGCCACCAGGTCCAGGAATGCCACTGCCATCTGGGATGCCACCAGCCCAGGGGATGCCACCACAGCCAGTCCCCACCATGCAGCCACAGCTGGTGCCAGGGATGTCACCAGCTCCAGGGATGCCACCAGTGGTGGGGATGTCACCAGCTCTGGGGCTGCCACCACTGTCCGTCATGACACCAGTCATGGGGATGTCACCGGCCCCAGAGATGCCACCTCCATCCATGATGCCACCAGCCCAAGGGATGCCACCTCCATCTGTGATGCCACCAGTCATGGGGGTGTCACCAGCCCCAGGGGTGCCACCTGCCCAAGGGATGCCACCACCATCCATGATGCCACCAGCCTCAGAGATGCCACCACCATCCGTGGTGCCACCAGCCATGGTGATGCCACCAACCCCAGGGATGCCACCAGCACAAGGGATGCCAGCTCCACCCATGATGCCACCAGCCCAAGGGATGCCAACTTCATCCGTGATGCCACCAGCCCCAGGGGTGCCATCTCCATCTGTGCTGCCACCAGCCCCAGGGGTGCCACCTCCATCCATGATGCCACCAGCCATGGGGATGCCACCAGCCCCAGAGATGCCACCACCATCCCCAATGCCACAACCCCCTACGCTCCCTGGCCCCGAGGACCCCTCAGTGCCCGCCGAGGCCGCGTCCCTGCTGCGTGTCCCCGATGTCCCCGAAGTCCCCGGGCCGCGTGCCCGGCAGCGCCGCGCATCGTGCCAGCGCCCCGCCCGCTTCCAGCTCACCGTACTGCAGGTGAGGGCGGGGCTGGGGGCCAGGGGGGCTGTGTGGGGACATCCTGGCACGGTCACAGAGTGTCACCACCCCCCAGGTGTCCTCAGCTGGGGACAACACGGTGGAGTGCCAGCTGGAGACCCACGACAGCAAGATGGTCACCTTCAGGTTTGACGCGGACGGGGACGCGCCCGAGGACATCGCCTGCTACATGGTGACCTCCTGAGCCCCCAGCTGTGCCCTGTGTCCCCAACCCTTGTCCCCTTCCCCACTCTTTGACCCCTGTCCCCAGTCCCTGTCCCCTTCCCCAGCCTATGTCCATCTCTGATCCAAGTCCCTTGCCCCCAGTTCATGTCCCCTTCCCAAACTTGTGTCCCCCCTCCCCAATTTGTGTGCCTGTGTCCCCAGCCCATGTCCCCTCCCTGACCCATGTCCCCCTTCCCAATCTGTGTCCCCCTCCCCAGCCCATATCCCCCCTCAATCCCTGTCCCCCTCCCCACTCTGTGTCCCTGTGTCCCCAGTCCAAGTCCCCCTTCCCAATCTTGTCCCCCTCCCCACTCTGTGTCCCTGTGTCCCCAGTCCAGGTCCCCCTTCCCAATCTTGTTCCCCTCCCCAGTCTGTGTCCCCTTCCCTAAGCCATATCCCCCCCTCAATCTGGGTCCCCCTCTCCAATCTGTGTCCCCCAAAAATCATGTCCCCCCTTCCCAACCCGTGTCCCCCCTGCAGGTCGAGGACAACTTTGTCCTGGAAGGGGAGCGGGACAAGTTTGTGGAGGAGCTCAAGGCCATCGTGGAGCAGGCGCGGGGGCTCCTCGGGACCCCTGCCCCAGACCCCCAGGTGCTCCCCCTGCCCCCCCTGCCTCACCCCTCCCTGCACCCTGACTTCCCGCTGATCCCCCAAATGTGTCTCCCCCCAGGTGGGACCCCTGGAGCCGCCAGCGGGTGGTGAGTAGTGGGGGAGGGGAGGGGAGGGGGCTGGGGTCACCCCCCACCCGCTGACCCCTCGTCCCCCACCAGGAGAAGGCCCCCCCCAGTCGTCACCCGTGGGGCGCTGGAGGTTCTGCATCAACCAAACCATCCGGAACCGCGAGGCCACCGGTGCGTCCCCAGGGGCTGGGAGGGGACACGGACGTGCCACCGCCCCACCAGGGCTGGGGGTGTCATCCCTACCCCATCCCTAATGGGGTGTCACCCTCACCCATCCCTAACTGGGGTGTCCCCTCCCTGCAGGCCCTGGGGGACCCCCGCCCGTCCGGAGAGCCTTGGGGACATCCCAGGGGGGTCCCCTTGGACAGGGGACAAACAAGAGTGGAGTGTCGGAGCAGGATGGACCAGGGGGGCCAGAGATGGGGGTCCGCAAAACCCAAGACCTGGATGTCCCCCAGGGACAGGAGTCGGTTGTCCCCAAACCAGAGGAGCTGGGTGTCCCCCAGGCTTTGGGGACAGCTGTCACCAGTCCCCAGGAGGTGGCTGAACCCATGGGACCAGAGGGGATCAACCCCAAACCCCAAGATCTGGGGGTTGCCCAAGGCTCGGGGCTGAGTGTCCCCAGCCCTGGACACCTGGATGTGGCTGTCCCCAAACCTCCGGAGCTCAATGGCCACCAAGAGCCCCTCATCCCTGGGGATGCAGAGCCAGGTGTCCCCCAGGAAGAGGGGACAGTCACTGCCCCGTGGGAGCAGGAGGGACCCGGGCCTGACCCCCCAGAGCCGGACGTGTCCCAAGAGCCAGGTGACCCCCAAGGACTGGGGACATTCGTCACTGGACCCCCAGAGCCACCAGGTGACCCCCAAGGACTGGGGACATTGATCACTGGACCCCCAGAGCCACCAGGTGACCCTCAAGGAGTGGGGACATTTGTCACCGGTGCTTGGGGGCAGGAGGGACCCCCAGGACCAGAGGTGAGTGTCCTCCACCCCAAGAGCTGGACACCCCTGTGCCCCAGGTGTCCTCCAGTCCCCAAGGTCTCAGTGTCCCTCAAGGACCAGAGGCTGCTGTCCCCATCCCCAGAACTTTGGTGTCCCCCAAATCCCAAGACCCCACTGTTCCCCAAAGACCAGGAATGACTGTCCCCAACCCCAAACTCCCTGTTCCCCCAAAACCTGAGTCCTTGGTGTCCCTGAACCCCAAACCCCAACACCCCAATGACCCCAGAACCCCATCCCCAAGACCTTGATGACCCCCAACTCCAAGTCCCCAATGACCCTAAACCCAAACCCCCATGCTCCTGATGCCCCTTTAACCTCAAGGTGTCAGTATCCCCCAAACCCAAAATCCCAAGAGCCTGATGACCCCAAACCCCCAACCTCAAGAGCCTGATGTCCCCCAAAACCTCAAGACCTTGATGACCCCAGCCCCCAGTGTCCCCTCAGCCCCAGGCCCTGGTGTCCCCCCAATCCCAAACCTCAGTGTCCCCAAACCCTCAACCCCAAGGCCCGGCTGACCCTGCTGAACTCCAGCCATGCTGACGCCCCATTCCCATTGCCATCACCATTTCTGTTCCCATCTCCATCCCATTCCCAATCCCGTCACCATTCCCATTTCCATATTCCCATCCTCAATCCCAATCCTATTCCTGTCCCCATTCCCGTACTCCCATCCCCAATCCCACTCCCATTCCCATTCCCAATCTTGTCACCGTTCCCATTCCCATATTCCCATTCTCATTCCCCATTCCCATACTCCCATGTTCCCATACTCCCATTCCCATATTCCCATTCCTGATCCCATTCCCGTATTCCCGCATTCCCATATTCCCATGTTCCCATACTCCCATTCCCATCCCCATTCCCATATTCCCATATTCCCATATTCCCATATTCCCATATTCCCATATTCCCATATTCCCATATGCCCATATTCCCATATTCCCGTTCCCGTATTCCCGTATTCCCGCATTCCCACATTCCCACGTTCCCAAGCCCGTTCCCGTCCCGCAGGCCGTGCCCCCCGCCCGCCCCCCGCCCGGGGGTGCCTCCTTCCCGCTGGGGCTGTGCCCCCGCCTGCGCAGCCCCCGCAAGGGCTGGGGCCGCCGCATCAAGAGCTGGGCCCGGCGCCTGCGCCCCCCCTCCGGCGGGGGGGACCCCCACACAGGTACGGGGGGGACCCCGAAACCCCTGGGAAAACCCACATCCCATCTGTGCCCCCCATGTACCTCTTTAAACCCCCATATCCCTCTGTACCCCCATTTACACCCCCTGTGTCCCCCTCACTGACCCCCCTGTCCCACAGAGGAGTCAGAGGAACTTGGGGACCCCCCAAGGCGAGAGCACTGCCAGGTGGGTGTTGGGGACCCCAAAATCCCCCAGGGACCCCTCAAACCACCCCAGAAACCCCAAATCTGCCCCAGGGATCCTCTCAAATTGGCCCAAGGAATCTGCAAACTGCCCCAGGGATCCCAGAACTACCCCAGGGACCCCCAAACTGTCCCAGAGACCCCCCACATCTGTCCCAGGGACCGCCCGCAACTGCCCCAGGGACCTCAGAACTACCCCAGAGATCCCAAATTTGTCCCAGAGACCCCCCCCCAACTACCCCAGGGACCCCAAATCTCCCCCAGCCCCACCCTTCACCCCCATCTCCTGTCACCCCTCTCTCCCCCTGTCCCTCCCCAGCCACCCCCTGAGCCCCCCGACCCCGAGGGCGACTGGGGGGGCCCCAGCTCGGGCAGCGAGAGCGGGGGGCTGGGGGGACCCCCGCACCCCCCCGGGGCCCCCCTGCTCCCCCCGGGGTCCCCCGAGACCCCCCTGAGCAGCGATGGGGACTCGGAGCCCGAGGACGAGGCGCTGCGGGAGCAGCTGCGGCGGCTGCGGGAAAAGTGAGTGAGGGGCTTTTGGGGGCGGCTGTGGGGGTCCTGGAGGGATTTGGGAGGTCCTGGGGAGGTTTTGAGGGTACCCAGGGGGTTTGGGGGCACCCCCTGACCCCACCCAGGCACATCCAGGAGATGCTGGAGCTGTGGGTGGGGCAGGACTGGGACTCTGGAGGGGTTTTGGGGGTCCCAGGAAAGGTTTGAGGGTCCCAGGAGGGTTTTGGGGGTCCCGGGGAGGGTTTTGGGGACCCCCTGTGCCCCCCCCCCGCCCCCCCAGGCACATCCAGGAGGTTCTGGAGCTGCGGGCACGGCAGGACCGGGAGCTGCGGGAGCTGCACCGGCGGCTCCGAGCCCTCAAAGAGGCCCGGGGGGACCCCCCAAAATGGGGAGGGGGCGGCGGGACGCCCCCCCAGCGCGGCCTTGGGGGGTCCCCACGGCGGCCTCGGGGGGCCCGGGCACGAGGGAGGGGCCGGGGCGTGGCCCTGACAGGTTTGGGGGCAAGAAGGGGATTTTGGGGGGCAAGGGGGGGAATTTGGGGGGGCTAGGAGGTAATTTTGGGGTGCAAAGGGGGGATTTTTGGGGGTCTAGGAGGGGATTTTGGGGTGCAAAGGGGATTTTGGGGGACGAGAGAATTTTGCTGTACAAATGGGGGATTTTGGGCAGCAAAGGGGATTTTAGGGGGCAAAGGGGGGATTTTGGGGGGCAAGGAGGGGATTTTGGGGTACAAAGTGGGAATTTTGGGGAGCAAAGAGGGGCTTCTGGGGTACAAAGGGAGGATTTTGGGGGGCAAAGGGGATTCTGGGGTTCAAAAGGGGGATTTTGGGACACGGGGAGGTTTAGGGGTAAAAAGGGGAACTTTTGGGGTGCAGGGAGGGATTTTGGGGGTGCAGGGTTTGGGATGAAAAGAGGAGGTTTTGGGGTGCAGGTGGGCCCTGGGGCACTCCCCTCTTTTCCAAACTCCCCTCCCCCACCCACAGAGGCCTCAGCCCCCTCCCCGGGCGGGGACCTTGAACTCTCTTTTTTTGTGTCTGGGGGGGTTCCTCACATTCATTTTTTGGTGGTTTGGGGGGCTGGGAGTTCCCTTCACCCCCTTTTTTGGTGTCGGGGGGGGATCCCCAAAACCTGAATCCCCCTTTCTTCCCCTTCCCCCAGGCCACCTCCTCGTGGGTCTCCACCCTGCGCGGCACGCGTGGGACCCCCCGAAAATGGGGGGAGCTGCCCCCCCCCAAACCCGCCCTGCGTGGGGGGGGCAGCCCCCTCCCCCCGGGGGCCGAGTGAGGGGGTGTCCCTCACTGAACCCTCCAACCCTCCCCCCCCCCCCCGTTCTGGCGGCAGTCCACCACTCGTGTCGCTCCCC